CCAGCAGATCTCTCCTGTTATTTGCAGACAAACAACTCAGCAGGGTGGCTATGTGCCTGGGAGTGCTCTGTGGGTTTTTTCCCAAGGACAACGGTCACGCCCCCTTCCTTAGGACAGCCCTGAGGTAGAAGCTGCTGTTATTCATTTATTTTTCAAAAAATGGAGTCACATCAGTTTCTCAGCCCCACTCCCGGGGACAGGAGAGGAGGGGCGCGTGTGCAGGAAGGTCCCAGCAGGGCTGCCCAGGGCCCTGTGAAACTCAGGGCAGAGCTGTCGGGGGAGTCAGCTGAGAGGGGCCAGGTGCCCGGAGCCTCAGTGACAGAGGGTCAGAGGGCAGGGGTGATAGAACCGGAGGCTGAAGTAGGACTGCAGAGAGCTGGAGAAGGCGGCCTGGGGTCGCCACCTGCCCCGTATAGAAGGAGACACTCCTAGACTCTGGTCCAGGGAGATCCCCACCCGGTAGCAGGGCAGTTCAGGGGGTTGGGGGATGGGACGGCAGGAGAGGGCCCGATGCTTCCTGGCACACCGTCCCAGGGCCTGGAATCCGCTTAAGGTGACTCTTGGATTCCCCACGCCTTTCCACAACTTTCCTCACAAACTCCAAGCCCCCAGAAAGTCCGGTCCTCCACCTCCACTTCCCAGTATTGTCTCCCTGAAGAGAAGCGCTCCTGGCCCAGCACACCAGGGTCACACAGAAACCCCCAGGGTTCTAGGGGCGCGCTTCACACTCGGGGTAGACTGTGTCTGGGTCCCGAGTCACAGCAGCTGCGGGGGGAAGAGGGGAGGAGCTGGTGCCAGCCGCTCTGCATCTCAGGGCCCTGGAGGACTGGGGAAGAGGGCAGAAGAGCTGACCTAACCCATGGATTCCCTCCCTCCTGCTCAGAACAGCTGCAGTGAGACAGCTCTCAAATGTCCCCTGACTCAAATAGCCACTGGGAGAGGTCAGACGCAGATATTCCAGGTCTCCCAGCTTCCCCCGGGAGAAGGGAAGCTGCCCAGGCATCCTCCTCCATGCTGGCTCACCCCCTGCAGCATTCGGTACAAAACACTCACTGCCACTCACTACTGCCGCATCTTTCTTCTCTACTGGACCAGGACCCCAGATGGCAGAGACAAAGGTTATCTTTGATCCTCTCGAAGACTTGTTCCTCAGCCCTGGCTCCTTCCCCTGGGGCACAGGGCTGGCTGAGGTTTCCCAGATCCCAGGCCCAGCCCTGGTCTTTCCTCTGCACCTCCCTGGTCCTTGCTGGCTGAGTGCTGAGGAGACCCCCCGCAGGCCACAGGTGCACAGGTGTCACTTTGCACCAGACCCATCCTGGACTCCGAAGACGCAGAGAAGTAAGCTGTGGCCATGGCCATCTGGCGAGTCTGGGTTGTTGGTGGGAGCCAACTCCCCTCACAGGCTGAAAGTGTATGTGCACATGCTGGGTCTGGACCACCGCGCTGAGCGCCCAAGGCCTCCCTTGGCTGCCCCAGCCGCACCACAGTAGGCTGCGGGCGTGGGCGTTTCCCTCATGACCTGAGCAGGCTGCCTGTGGCTCACTGCCCGGCCCAGCCTCTCCAGGAGACTCTTCCAGAAGTCTAACTCCAGAAAAGACCCAACTTCCCACTTACAAGTGTGGTTTCAGCTGAATGCACATCTCTTTCTCATCACAAACTTAAAACAGTCACAGGCTGAACTGTCATAAGCTGGGACCATCCGTACTGGATACTGAAGAGTCCAACTCTGTACAGTCACAGTCCCTGCCTTTGGCGACCCTCTCTGAACTCAGTCTTGTGACAAAGAAGAAACTAAATTTCATTCAAAGGGAACATTTACAAAACCCTGTCTGTTCATCCGTCTCAAAGCCCTCATAATCTCCTTCTCCGTTGCATTGCTTCAGGGAGTCCTTTGAAATTGTTCCCTTTCCTCTTGAGTAGCCTTGTATATACCTGGGTGTGGATCAGTCTCCAGAGTTCAAGCTGTGAATTTGATGATCGAAGACTTTTGAAGTTAGCTTGCTCTGAGTGGCTATGGCATAATCCAGGGAGACAAACTTAGGGGGCTGGTGGCTGGGAAAGAAACCAAGCTAAGAAAATGGGAGTGGGCATGTGTAGGTTTTCCAGGGAACATGCACAGAGGCTGGCACCCCTGGAGTCACTGGTCAGCTTGGAGTCCTCGGGCAAGCTGCTGGGTCCCCACACTTGTCCCTGTTGGAGATCAGTGTCTGGGACCTGTCCCCTGGGGCTTGTGTCTCAGCATCACCACCCCCTGGTGGATGACTTGGAGCAAGACTTTAATTCTCTTGCTCCAACTCATCCATTCTCTTAAAATAGTTCTTCTATTTTAAATGGCATAACACTGCCCTCTGCCCTCTGTCTTTGAGACTATTAGGATCAATAAGTGGGAGAATCCCTGGAGAGCACCAGGCTGCTGTGTCTGCTGTGGCCGGAGATGTTCTAGAAGAGGTGGGTATTTAAAGAGACAGCTGATATGCGTTTCCTCACCCTCCCTTCCAATTGAGCAGCTGCCTCTGCTCTGAGGTCTCCTGGAGGGTAGGTACTCATCACCCACCTGAGACTTAAGCTTATGGGGTTGAAAATCCTGAGGAGGAGAGTAAAAGAACCAAAGAGAAAGTGGGTGGGGAGGGCTTTCAGAAGGGAAAAGAGTCTCAGCTGCGGGAAGGGAAAGGTGCTGCTGCCTGGGGCACCATCAGGACTGGACGTGGGTGGGGCATCCCCGGCCTCCATCCATGGCCCTGCCAGGAAGATGAAGAAAGGCCACTAAGACCTTTCCCCAGGGAATCTTGAGCCTAAGACTTGGGGAATCAAGTGGTCACTCACCAGCGTGAGGCCGAGCTGTTCTCCAATCTGCAGCAGAAAGAGGGCGGTGAGCACTTGCTGGCCAGAGCTGCGGCTTGCTTGGTGCCTCTGGACTCTGGCTGATTTCCTGTCCCTCCCTGGCCCTCCTGGTCTCTCACACTAACCTGGCTTCTCCTCAAGCTCCTCACTAGAGTGTGTCAGGGAAGGGAGGTGGAGGAAATGGGCTCTTCCATTTGCCTTTCTTGGCCCCTCTAATGGCCCCGGGCTCCACTGAGAACTCTTCACCCATCTCCCCATTGGTCTAAATTCTCTGTGCCTTGTAGCTAAGAGGGCACCAGCATGTGGAACTCTGTTCTGGTGCAGAACATGAACCAAGACTCGGGGGGAAGGCTGGGTCTCCCTTCATCAGGGTCACGGTCTACTCATTCCCCGGGCCCTGGTCCTGTTTCCTCCAGGAGCTGGAATGCAGTGTCCTGCACGTCAGTGTGGCCAATGCCCAGTCCTGGTTTTGTGGGCTCATCAGGAAGCATCTGTTTCCTATGACTGTACGTCCTCTCTACTTGCCATGAGGGACATTCAGAACTGCAAATCTCCCCAGTAGCCTTATCTGGGTAGCTGGGGCAGCAGGGGAGTTGCTCAAGCTGCATTCTGTGGGGTGATACCTAATGGAATCACAATATCTCCAGTTCTTAAGGCAGAGCCAGATGGTAGGGGACAGGTCACCCTAGGAGGAGGCTCTTGTGGCACAAGAAGTGATGAAGGCCCGAGGTGAGGCACTGGCCTAAGGACTCAGGGAGTGAGGAGGGGCTGATCACCACTGTTAATAGTAGGTGGTGGTCTCAAGCCATCCATGGGCTGTGTGTGAGCTATGAGCACCGTGGCTCTATGAGGGGCAGGTCTGGCTTTGCACACTCATTGGGCTGCGAGATGCAACTGCGCCTCTCCTCTCGCTCTGCCTGTGATCCCCCACAGCACCGGGAGATGGGTGTGACTTGCCAAGATGTCAATCAATCTGCTGACCGCCAGACATCAAGAAGCAAGACTCCACCTTTGAAACCTTATCCCCTGCCTTATTTGGTGAAGAACATTCCATCGAATCTCTCCCCATAAAAATAGGTTCCAAGTGCACACTCTCTTTTTCAGCTTACCCTTAAGGTCGAAGAGCCGTCCTACCCTCGATAGGAAAAGTTACTTCTGTGTTCTGTGCTTTTTTGCTGTTTTCTTAGCTTGATGTTGCATCCAGCTCTTTTGAACTCAGTAGTACCTGACGCAGTGCTGGTGAGTTTTTGAGGAAGGAATGAGTGAACTACCACAAAGCCCCAGGGACACTGCAGAACAGGATCCAGGAAGAGGGGGAAGGACTAGTCTCAGAAAGGACACTTGCCCTGTTGAAATCCGGGAACAGACAAGGACAGGCAGGTGCAGGTGCTGGGACAGGAAGGCAACATCTCCCGCCGAGGGGGGGGTGTTGCTTCGCTATCTGGGATGGAGGAAGGATGTGGTAATGAGAATAACGGCAGGGTTCTCTCCTACAGCCACAGCTGTGTTCTGTCCCAGATGTCTGCCCACCTCCCTTCATTCCAGGACACCTGCTTCCATCTGTATACAGACTTAACTCAACTGCTGGGTGAGGAAAGGGGAGCTCCAGAGGGGTGAAAGGAGCTGCCCTGGTCTGTCTGAATGAGCAGGTGTGTCAGCCCTGCAGAGGAAGTGGGTGCAGAAGCAGGAGCCAACTGGTTGCCTGTAGGGACTAGAGGTGGGGCGCTAGGGCTGGTGTGGGTGGTGCATGGCAGATGGAGCAGAAGCAGGAGGCCTGGGCAGTTAAGTGCCCACCGTGCAGGCAGAAAGGGCCAGGAAGCAAGCTTTACATCTGAGATGAGTGTTTTTTCAGCTGTGATTTGTATAGAATACAAAAACGAGTTCCTCGGGTACATCTGAAAATACAGCCTCAGACTCCTGAGTGAGATGGGAACTAGCTAAAGGTGCAGCTCGGAGAGTTGGAATCTGGCCCCAGCGAGGTCATTTTTTACTGATTTGCGGTCACACACACAGTCCTTAGCTTGAAAACTGGATCTCCACCTCATCCTTGATTACAGGATGTCCACCAATGATCAGGAGTTTGCTTAAGTATGTGTTGGTAGATTAAAAATAACTTAAAAGATTTTAGGTTCTTTAAGAATTGACAAATGATGCTGAGCTCAGTTTGGTCACAGGTTTAGAAGTCCCTTGGGACATTTGGGTATTGTGACATATGGGGCAAGAGTGAGCAAGGCCTCAGGAGAAGGAAACCAGACAAAGCCACCTGTTAGGTGAAGGAGGTGAAGTCTTCAGAACAATTCCAGTTGGCTCGCCTTTCGCCTTCTGGCTTTTCTTCCAACCTGAAGTGGAACAAAGAAGTCTTGTGAGGTCACTCTTGTGAGGTCACTCTCCTGACAGTGGCCTGAATGACACACAGAGGAGAGGGAAGGACTTACTGAGCTCTCCCTGCAGTTTTTCTGCAGGACAAGAGGTAATCAGTCTCCAGTGGGGGACCCAGGTGTGTTGGCAAAGGACCCACTGGGAGACCTTCTGGGGTCTGCACACTGAGTCCCTGAGCTGTCAGGGAGGTGGGCTTGAGGTCACAGCCAGGGTCATAGCTCTGGTGGGGTAAGTGGGGTAAGGTTGGTCCAACAAGTGGGGAAGGTCAGCATCAGAACTTCAGGCGCCCTCTCCTCACCCTGTCCCTGTCCGGTCCCCTTTCCACTTGTGAGTCTCTCCGTTTTGGTCTCTGACGGCCTTACCTTTGGCCCGACGATCTTGCTCTCTCTCCTGGTAAAGTTTCCAGGTGAACCCAAGTGTGCCACCAGGAGAAGCACCACAACAGGCAAGAGTGGGGTCCCAGTGGCCACCCAAGGGAGCCCTTCAGGAAGAGAGTGTCTGGGTCAGAACTGCTGAGCATCATTCCCGTGAAGGAAAACAGGACAGGGCTGGGAGGCGCTGGAGCCGTACACAGGGTGCCCCAGGATCCCCAAGATTCCTGGTCCGGCCAGGTGACAGGGAGGGACCTGGCTGGGCAGTGACTCTAGTTTTGCCCTATCATTTGTCACAGGATAATGAAGAAAACTTGAAAGTCATTAAAAAAAAAAAAAAGTCCCTGGGACTCAGGGTTAACTCAGGAAGGCAAAAATCACCCCCTGGCATCTAGGACTGAAACTGAGGTCCTGAGACATGGCTGGAATTGCTCCTTTTCCCCACGAGGTGACTTCCACTGAGAGTCAGCGTGAACAGGGTCCCCTTGAGCAACTTGCAATTGTTGAATGAGGTACTTTGGTTGGGAAAGGAAGGACTTAGCCCTGAGTACTAGTCGCAACTAGTACTAACTAGCCCAACGTGTGACTCTGGCCAAGACACCCAGTATCTCTGTCTCAGTTCCCTGACTTGTCACCTGTGGAGATGGGAATGCTGATTAGCCTGCTTTGATCAGTACATTTAAATTTCCTGGGGGCTGCTCCTGCTTTGGGAGAGAAAAATTGTCGAGATCCCTGTGGAGTCACTAGAGCCTACAGGCAGGTGTCGGGCTCTCGTTTCAGATTTGACTCTAAATGCTGTATCTGGAGATGGGCTCCTGAGTCCCTTCACTGAGATGGGTGCAGTCCTACCGAGGCTGTGCAGTTGGACTTCACCAGATCCCTGCTCCTTCCTGGGTTCCCTCTAAAGCAGATTCCCCTCCCTACTTGCTGCCACCAGACACCCAGATGGGGTAGAGGGAGAAAGAGCAGAATCAAAGCCCTTGCCTCGGGGAGCCTCTGTGCTCCAGTCCACACCACCCCCCTGCACCCCACTGCCCCTCTCAGTCACTCACGGCTCTCTGCTCCTCTGATCCGGTCACTCTGGGCTTCAGATGTTGTCCTTCAGTTGGACTCTCCTTGCCTCCTGCCACTCAAACTGGGAGGCGGGCAAGTGAGGAGAGCCTGAGCCAGGTATTGCACAGTTGTCTAAGATCCGAGTCTGGCCAAGGTCGGCTTCTGTGCCCCTACCCTCCAGCACAGGAACAGATTGGGACAGCGTGACCTCTGGGCATGCACTCTTCCTTCTGCATTTATGATGTATGGTAGTGATCACTTCCAGGGAGAAAGCCAGGTGTGCAGCCAGCCCCCACAGCTCAGCCCCCACAGCCTCCAGGCAGCACTGTTGTTACCTGGCAAAGGCTTTGAGCCCATGGGTGTCAGCAGAATCCCCCACACATGGGTAGTACAGTGCAGGCTCTGGAAGGGAGAACACGGGGAAACCCAAACCCAAACAAATCTTCCCCATCGCAATGCAAAACACATCGCTAAACCTGTTGACTTCTTTAGATCCACTGATAGTCGCAGAAAGGTAGGAGCCATGAGCAGGGGGCTGTTTCTCAGGAGCAAGGTCAGATAGGATGAAGTCAGAGAAAAGTCAGGGAAATTTCAGAATAAATAAACTTTTGGGTTTCACAACACTCTGAGCAGTGTGATGCAATTCTGTGCTGTCCAAGGGAGGCATGGGCCATCCCTTTGCCCAGCGTTAACATGCCAGCTGAGCCACCTGCCCGTCAGGGCATTTCCTAGCGGTCTCTACGGTCAGATGGGCCATCTCAGAATCACAGAATGAGTGCATGTCGAGGAGTGAAGTAAGAGTTGAGTTAGTTGGGTGCAGCATTTCCATGGTTCTGATAGGAACAAAATATGTAAGTATGAACAAAATGAAATATGAATTCTAGAAATTATAGAAGAGATTGTAGAAAAAGAAAAAAGCCTTATATTTTCATATTTTTAATAGCACTTCTTCCTGTCTTTTGAGCAAAGGACCTCCTGTTTTCAATCCGCACGGAGCCTTGTGAAAGGCAGCCAGCCCTGAATGGGCGTGGCGTTTGCTGGAGGAGGAGTGAAGAGAAAGAGTTTCCTAGTGTGATTCTGTGTTGACCTGGGGCCGACAGGGTCCCTGCTGAGACAGGGGAGCCTGGGGCAAGGGAGGTGGTGAAGAACCGGTACACGTGGCTTTGAGATGCCTGAGAGATGCCTAAACTGCACAGAGTCAGGCAGTTGGAGAAGCTGGTGCTTGTGAGGGAGGTTCTTCATAGAGGGAGGGACAGGCTCATGCACATGGCCAGAGCATTCAGGAACAGAGAGAGGCCCAGGAGCTCCTGCTGGGAAACCCTGGAAGAAACAGGAACAGTGAGGAAGGAAGCACATGTGTGATGTATCAAGGGAGACTGGCACACACATGACACTCCCAGGTGCAAGAAACTACACCTCTTTATGTTTTAAAAGAAAATAAATTCTGTCCTTGGATTCCACTTGGAGGTTTGGCAGGAAGTCCTCTGGCCAGTCCTTTTGCATATGGCTCCTCACTTTCTGCTGTGGAGCAACAGTCTTCAGATCTACACCATTTTGAAAAACCCCAAGGGATGGCTGCACTGGCATCATGTACCTTAGCTAAGAGAAAAGGATCCAAAGAGGAACCGTGCAGGCTGTCTCCTGACTTCTCTGCCCACCCCTTTGCTGCCTATCTCTCCTCTGTAGGCACAAGAGGTAGACTTAAGAGTGATGCAAATACAACTTAATCAGGGGGCCTTTCCCAGGGCCTCTATTTAATTTATATGCATCAATTTTGTATTTTTTCTTAAAGAGAGTCCTGGAAGTATACAAGCTTCAGGCCCCTGTGAGGCACTCTCCCCTCCTGTGTAAATGCTGCACAACATACACAGCAGACCCCAAGCAAACGGATGGCTGCTGTGCTCTAGCCTGGGTGTTCTCACTGAAATGTGGATGCTACCCACTTCCTGTGATGCACCTCTCATTTGTTATGTTGCCCAGCTTGGTCTTGAACTTGTGGGTCTAGATGGTCCTCCCATCTTGGCCTCCCAAGTAGCTGGGACTACTGGATTGTGCCACTACACCTGCTGTAGTGAATATGCAAGTTGTGCATACTGCTCAGGGCATTGCCAGCTTTTATGACAAATATATTCAAAATTTCAGTCACTAAACCCACTAGCCCTTGACTCTTTGCTCACATAATTGTTGAGGCAGTTCTTCCCTCTGGGCTGGCAGGTTTCATTGCTGGGACTCCTTTCTGCAGGGGGCGGTCAGGGTAGTTCTCTGGGTAGCCTTGGACTGGCCCAGTTCTCCCCCATTTCTTTTACTTATTTATTTTTGGTACTGGGGATTGAACTCAGGGGACTCAACCACTGGCCCACATCCCCAGCCAGTATTTTATTTAGAGCAGTGTCTCACTGAGTTTTGCTTAGTGCTTCACTTTTGCTGAGGCTGCCTTTGAACTTGTGATCCTCCTGCCTCAACCTCCCGAACTGCTGGGATTACAGGCACGCCCATTTCTTGCTAGTAGTTCTCAAGAAGGGTTGTAGAATGTTCTAGAACTGCAATATGTTGAGATAGAAAGGAAGTACCTGAAACAGCCTGGTCCTGGTTCCTGGCTCCTGCAGGGACTGGGAGACCTCGAGTCAGGGAGGAGCTGTTGAGGACAACCTTGGCTTTGACCTCTCTCCTGGAGACAGGACATCTTTCACAGATTCAGCCCAGTAAGTCTCTGAGGTCTCTGACCCAGGAAGGGCTGCTTTACAGTGGTGCATGTGGGGCGAGTGTGATTAAGACCCTGTCCCCCAGGGCAGCTTTCCAACGCCTTGGCCACCAGCAACTTTTGTCCCTTGCTGTCCTACTTGCAAGTGCAGATCTGCTTTGCTTAAATGGCTGCAGCAAGTGTTCTGTCTCACCAGACCCAGGTTGGGGAGCTGCGTGTGGTGAAACTTCTTTGCAAACCCAAGCAGTGTGCAGGGTCCTGTCTGACAGAAGCATGGCTTTCTGGGAGAGCAGGAGGGACAATACTCGCCAGTAGCCAGCTCAGGGAAGAGACATCAACCTGCAACTGGATGATAAGTGGGATGTAAAGTCACACTGTCTGAACTCCACGGAGGAGTGAGCTGGGCCTGTGGACCGTCTCCGAGGAAGGAACACAGAAACAGGGGAGTATAGAACGTGATCCCCTGGTTGTTGGGTACTTTCGTGCTTGCTCATTCCTGGGGCCAGAGCGCTCAGGAATGGACAGTCAGGTGGACCCAGAGTCCATCTGTACTCAACACATGCACGTTCTTCTGGTCACTATTTCTTAATACATTAGTTAAGGGCTTTTGTGGGAAGGGGGACTCACTGTCTAAGGGAGAGACCAGGGAGGGCTTACGCTGTCTGTTGTGGGGCTCGCTGGATAAAGCAGCACCATTGCAGACCCAAGTGTCTGGGGGTCCGCAGTGAAGTTATAAATAGGACCAAACTGTCTAGGTCCCCATGGGAGGCCAGTGACCCTGTGCTCCTGTCAAGAGGAAAAGGGAAAAGAGAGACAGCTCAGAGTTTCCTGAGAGTCTTAGATACTAGAGGCCACATGACCATCGCTTCAGCTTCCCCGAGGGGAAGAATGCAACTGGTGACCTTAAGAAGATGAGGGATGACCACAGTGACCTGTGACCCTTAGTTCTCCGAGGGTGGGGCCTTGGGGCCACTTCGGTTGTGGGCGACTGGTTCACGCTGCCAAGTGTATCGTAGGCTTTGACCCTGACGCCCCCTCCCAGGTGAGAATTCAGGTCAGGAGGGTGGGATGTGCCTCCTCCTGCCTGTCACCTGGACGACCAGGCCCCCATATGTCCTTCAACCAAAGCCATGTTGCCTACTCATGGAGAGCAGGACATTATAGAGTTAGTTCAAGGCTGGTGGCAGATAAAAATGTTGCAGCCTGTTCTGTCACAATGTGACAGGCAGCCTGCAGCACTGAGAAGCTAACGATGGACAGTAGCAAGTTAAATGCCAAGGTCGACTGGACTAGAAGCCAAAATATATGTTCCAGATACAGTCAAGCAAGAGTCGTGACTCTGGAGGCACTGGGCACGGGCTGACCAAGGTAGACCCGGCAAGTAGGAGGCCCCCGGTGACAGACCCGCAGCTGTCCATCTGGGAGTTCGCTGGCCTCCCCGTCAAGGTGACTGGCAAGGCCAGCCGTCTTGAATGGGGCCTTCTGAGGCACCAGCACGACCCAGGCACTGCCTCTGAAGCCTTTAGAGCCTGCTGGCTGCAATTACAGGAGTCCCCAACCGCCATGCCTGTTGAGTGGGGTCTGGTCCCAGAAAACTGCCACCAGGGAGCATCAGCCTTTCAGAATTTGAACACTTACACAGCCTGGGGGAACCTTCACATGGCAACTCTTTACATGCACACCAAGTCCTAAGGGGGGTAAATAGATTAAATGATAATCCTCGCCAGGCTCAGGTAGATTGAAGTTCCTCATTTTGTGGATCTGAGCAGCGTGATCATCTAAGCTTGGAAGTGTTAAAGTCAGAATCAACTCATGGATGACTTGGGTGGAGTAAGAAGATAGCCTTTCACGGAAGAGATGCTTCCTACTGTCGGAGGTCCACCGAATGAGTCAGATGGCTTCTTATGCCACTCTTTTTATTCCACAAGTGGAAATAAAAGACTTCAGATTCAATGTAAAGAAGTAGAGCAAATGAGTTTTTAAGCCAAGGGTAAATAATGATTCTCTCTTTCTGTTTTCCAACCGGGGGTCTGGGTGTCTACACCCTGTCTTTCAGGGACTAACTATTCCCTCAAGGATGCAAATGTGAAATAAATAAAGGCCTTGCTTTTCAGAGCTTGTCTGATAAGGGCTAGGGTTAAAAAGTCCACAGGCTCTGAACATCTGAAACTCAGCACCAAGAGAAACTAACTTGAGAGCCAGAGGAAACTGGATATCACAAGGCTGAACTTCTCCAATTCCACAATCGGCCTCAACACAGACCCTTTTAGAGGCAAATAGAAGCGGAGCTTCCAGGTAGGTGCTGCACTAGTGGATACTGAGCCTTTACAGGTCTCTGCCTTCCTCCTCTGTTGAGAATGACCAGTTGCTGGGGTACCCCACCACTGCCCTGCCCTGCTTTCTAACCTTGGTGGTGCGCTGTAGCGGATTCACTGGCTCCTGGGAACCAGTCCTGCATACCTGTCTCCAACTCAGCGTTCAGTGATGTTAAAGACTTCTGATCCACAGCTCAACTCAGCCATGGGTGCAGAGTTTCCACTATAGAAATGGCTAAGCACTGCACCAGGTTAGGGTTTCTCCTGGAGAGGCCTTAACCAGCACACCACTGCCTGCCTGGAGACCACCAGGAGAGTAACCGCCCAGTGAAAATCAGCATGAAAACAAACTGGCAGGTAAGGAAAGTCTTCACTTGGCTGATGCTGGAAGAAGTCAGAAAGTCAGGCTAAAATAAGGTCACAGGAACGTGAGACTTTCAGGGTAGTATTACATTTACAGAAGAGTACTATCCACTTGTTTATTTTATTCAACTTGGGTTTTCAGTATGGGGAAGTAACGTGCAGAAGAGAGCCTTAATAAGTTTACTAGGTAATCATGCATTATTAAATAAGGTAGTAATTTTTGGAATTTGGGAAAAGTCATGTATTCTCCACCATATGTATAACATGTGTGTTACTTATGATTCTAGTTACCTTATCACTTGGTGCTTTATGAGAATGATATAGTTGTGAAATTTAATTAAAGTTGCATTAAAACACGGGAGACAGATGAGCCTTTTTTATTAGTAGCATATTAGTGATACCAGTTGTTGTAATAAAAAAACCCATCAGTCTCAGTTTTTCACCTTAATAAATGTTGTATTCCCTATACAGGCAACATCTAATGAAGATTTTCTTTTTGGTCTTCCTACTAGGTACCAAGAACTCACTGTGTGATGCAGGCATTGTAGGTCCATGGTGTCTTCCAGGATCTCAGTATTTAACTGACAGAAAAGAAGAGCATCGTCATGGGATATTTTCCTAGACTAAGCCTAAAACAACCCCCCGCCCCCTGCCCAATACCAATGTAGAAGTCAGGACATAATTTCTGCCTAAGCTTTATCAAATGTCTGTGTGAATAAGGTAACACAAAAGTGACTACAAAGTCTGGGAAGAATGTTCACAAATTTATCAGCAAAGTAAGAGAAAACATAAGCACAAGTTCTCTTTTCTCCTTGAGTGACAAGTGGGTGAAACTTGCCATTGTCTGGTGCATGTCACGAGGGACTCCTGAGTTAATTTCGGAGATAAGCAATCGGAAGGCCCATGACCTTGCATTACAAAATGCATGAGACCTGATCTCATGTTGAGCCTATTGATTTACAAATTCTTGTATTTCGGCATCAGAAGAAGGAATGCAAAAAAAATCACCTTGTTCTCTCCTTTTCTGATCTCCGGTTCCTCTTTATTCTGCCTCTCTGTCTTGCTCTTTTAGTTATTTTTTTTTAATTAACTTTTAAGCTATTTTTTATCATGGTGAAATTTACATAAGGTTTACCATGTTAGCCATTTTTGGAGCACGATTCAGTAGGGTAAAGCACAACCACACTGTTATACACCCGTCACTACCATGCATCTCCAGGACTGTCATCATCTCAGTGCGAAACTCTGTATTCATTAGTCAGTGACTCCATCCTTCCCTCCCCGGGCTCCCATTGATTTTTATCCCACTTTGTATCTCTGAACTTGACTTTGAAACCTCACACTGGTGGGACTGTACAGTATGTGTCCTTTTGTGTCTGGTTTGCCTCACTTAACATTATGTTTTCAAGGTTCAGCCTTGCTGTAGCATGTGTCAGGATTTTCTTCCCTTTTTAAGGCCAAATAATACTCTATTTTATGTTTATTGTGTTTATATTCACCACTTGACAGATATTTAGGTTGTTTCCACTTTGCCCTATAGTGAACAAGGCTGCTATGAACATTGGCAAACAAATAATCTGTCCCTGCTTTTGCGTATGTACTTAGGAGTGGAATTATTGAATCAGGTTAATTCTGTGCTTAATATGTTGGAGAACTTCCATCCATACTATCTACATACTATCATATGATGGCTGTACCAAATGCTAAAGATCCCACCAGCAATGCACAAGTGTTCCAGTTTCTTCACATATTGGTCATTATTTGTCTTCTTAAAAAACAAAACAAAACAAACAAACAAAAACGAAACCTTAGCCATCTAAGAGGATATGAATCATCTAGTTAGGTTTTAACCACATGCAACTGCACTTGACCTACGTTTCTGTCCCAAACACAAATTTATGTTGGTGTTGAAGAGGCAGGATGGAACTCTGCCCACCCACCAGGATGGAGCACGCTTCCAGAGGAGAGACCACTACAGAAACCAGGAGAGGCCAGGTTGAGGGGAAGACTATTGAATGTGTGTCTGCACTCATCTGTGCAGTCAGAGGTGGCCCCACACAGATCCAGGGGTGTCTTGTCAAGGTGGGCATGGGCCATCAGTGAGGAGGTGCCTGACAGGAACAAAGACATGGAGACTCATACACATGGGGAACCTTCTTCCAGCAGGTGCTCCGGGTGGCTGGTGGGGGCAGAAGGCAGTTTGTGACAGTGGCCAGCATGAACCAGGAAGCTGACTCTTGGAGTCTGTTTCCTTAGGTCTTCAGAACTGGACTCAAAATCTGCACTAGGTAGAAACAGGCACATGGGCACAAAGACAAAGCCAGCCACAGGACTAGGGCCCAAGGTCAGAATTAGTAGTAAGGGTGACTTGGTGTCAAGACCCAGGCTTTGGGGGATACTGAAAATTCTGGCCTGACCCTCAAGACCATGGGTCTTCAGCTCTGGGAAAAGAAAGGCTAGATAGGCTGAAAAACAAGGTAAGGAGTGAAATCAACAAAGGCAAGTGAAATCCTCATTGTCAACTGTAAAGTGCTCCAGGAACATGTCATGAGAATGAACAACAAGCTGATTTTAAAAATTTTATCCAGAACCCTTTCTATGTTAGATAGAATTATAAATGATCCAAAAGAAATTAGCTGTGTGCTGTGCATTAATAAATATTAGACAAAACACCTGCATTGGAGAAATCCTATGAATTAAAGTGCTTTACTGGTTAAAGTGTCTTTGCTGACTTTGTAACTGCAGTTGCCCATTTGAGTTGGTGTTAATCTCCAGGTCCTTTGCAACCTGTGTTGTCAATGTCCTGTCTGATTTTAGCTATGACCTCTCCATTTTTGATGGTGGCCATTTTTTTAAAACTAATTTTTTGTTTTGCTTATTAAAGAAAAAAATAAGCTCTAACATTTGAAACAGCAAATTCACTAATCTTTGTTTAATAACACCAAAGTGGAAATCTATGTGAGAAAATAACAAATAATAAACGTTAAGTTTTGTCACAGTCTCTGCCGAACACATGCTGGTGATGTGGGAAAAGGCATTTAAGAATTTCACCAAACTTGATAGTGATAATTATGGTATCATCTACTGAAAGCTCAGGGCACGGCAGGCACCGTTCTAAGCATATATAAATCCATTTAATTCCTCATGCAAACTCACAACCATTCTGTGACTGTCGGTACCGTTACATCCTCGTTTTTACTGTCAATAGAAGATCACTGTATTCTCCGGCAGCTCCGGATCCCAGGCTCATTCCTTTCTGCTGGGGTCTGAAGATCCTCCCCCAAACCTCGCCTTTCATTTTCTGAAAGTTGCGTTCATTTCGCCACCAATGTCGCAGGCTCCCAATACATCCTTCCCAGGATGCCTAGTTTCTTTCCAGAATACTGGGCACCCACTTCTCCCACCTACCACCTATATGTGACCTGCAGGGTGGGCACCCACTTCTCCCACC